ATTAATCTCTCAGATGAGAGGTTTTGCTTGTGACTTAAGATCTTGGCCGGAGACAGCCTCAGGGGCTTCCACTTGGTACTTCTTCCCATCATGGCTCTTGCTCCACAAGCCGGGGAACCAATGTGAGCACCATGACAGTACTAAGCACTGCAAAATGAACTTCGGCCAAAACTTCATCTGTAATCTGTGTAAACAAGTCCTATTCCCACCAGAGGATCATTAGAATGTTTTGGGGTCCCCTGATGTCAGTGCTTAGACCCCAAGTAGGTCCCATAAAAGCCTGGGTTTTTCCCTTTTTTAGTATACCTTGGCAAGTGGCCACAGGTCCCTCTGTGGAAAAATTGGGGAACTCTACTACCTATAATTGCTGTGGCATTTTAAGTCCCTTCTTCAAAGGAATCTGTTTTCCCCATTAATCAAGAATTGTGGGCCTGTGAACTGGTGTAGATTGAGAAACTGGGTGAGGGTGAGGGACACTGACTTCTTCCATTTAGTGGCTGACACCAGCCTTTCTATTTATCAGTGAAAGAAACATTCAACAAGTCAAGCAACATTAGTCATCTTTCCATCTGCCTTGCCCTCACTGTCAGCCAGAGCTGCAAATCCCTCCAAGTTAAGGCATCGTGATTGTCTGCCCAGCCTTGCTTTATTGCCACTGATGGTTAAGTGAGGCCACCTGGTCTCTGCTGTGCCGAAACCCCACCATCCCATTGATGCTAGATAGCTCAGTTCTATGGCAACTGCTTCCACTGTCAATCCTGGCCTACTGTGAACAGCCATCACCAAACTTCTCTTCACAGTCCTCCTCTCGCCAGTATGTTCCTTACTGCCTCAGTGACAGGACTGTGTCTAAGCCCTCCCTGGGAGCATTGGCAGATAGTAGGTTCTCAAGCCTTATATGGTCTCTTCCAGCAGTCATTCACTTTCCTTAGCTGTTCATCTCTTCCAGCAGTCATTCACTTTCCTTAGCTGTTCCATCTCTTCCAGCAGTCATTCACTTTCCTTAGCTGTTGAGCTGCTTCCTTAGTACTGTGCCAAGGAAGTTCAGCATCTCATCTAATTTACCCCATACTATGTGTCCAAGCCTCAAGGAGCCATTTCAGCTGCCAGCACCGACTCCAGGTATCTGCCAGAAAGTTGAATTCTGAGTCTCAGATGAGTATTCCCATGGCAGTAATTTCTTCTCCAAGTTTTTTGGTTTGGGGATTTTTTTTTAGTAGACCACAGGAGGGTCTCACTCCATTGCTCACTGCAGCCTCGAACTCCTGGCCCAAGTAATTCTTCTGGCTCAGCCTCTTAAGTAGCTAGGACTACAGGTGTGTGCCACTGCCCCTGGCTACTTTTATTTTTTGTAGAGATGGGGATCTTGCTACACTGCCCAGGCTTATCTTGAACCCCCTAGCCTCCTGCCTTGTATTACTGTTACCACTGAGCCTCCTGCCTCAGCCTCCCAAGGTGCTGGGATTACAGGCGTGTGCCACCACTCCTGGCCTCCATCAGGTTTTGTGCTCCCTAAGAGAGGAGCTTCTAGAATGCTGGGAATGTTGTTTCTGGATATGGGTGCTGGGTTACAGGTATTATTTTGGGATGTCAGTAAGCTGTACACCTAGTATTTGGCACTTAACTCTATGCATGTTATGTCTAAATAAACATTTGTTTTTTAAAAAAATCAGTCTGAGAAAAGAGCAGGAAGAAAACAAAAGAACTGTGTAGTACAGGGTTATGGCAATAGGGCTTAGGGTGTATCACCCTCTAAGAAAGGTGCCCAAAATAAAATTAGAATGGCTTGTAGACATGTTTACCAGGAAATGAATATCAAGATGATGATGTTAAAGTTCTGGAACTTCATGACTTCTGAATAAGGATTAGTAAAACAAATGTAGGATTTACTGTCAAACACTGAATTTGGACTCTGGGGACGAACTGTTAGGATTCACATCCTGCCACTGCCACCTACTAGTAATGTAGCTTAGGCACGTTATTAAGACTTTCCTTTTTGGGAAAATAGGGATGATAATAGTACCTACTTCATGGGATTGTTGTGAGGATTAAACCAACTAATACAAATAGAGTACTTAGAACAGAGCATGGCACAAAGAAAGCAGTCCGTAAACATTAGCTCCCTCTGTTACTACCGTTAGCACTGTCTCCACCACCACTGCTAAGTTCCTCTTTCAGGCTGGATCTTGGGCAGGCTACTAACCTGACTTCCATGCCCAGTTTTCTGCTCTGCAGAATGAGAATTATATCATTCCACTTCTGGGGGATCAGGAAAATACCCTATAATGATGCTTATCACATTAACAGGACTAATTTTGCTCTCCTTTCCTTTCCTTGCTTCCTCATAGATGTTAGGAGAACTTTTGTGCCATGTTTCGGGGGGTAAACTTGCAGCTAGAAAGGCAAGACCTGGGGAAACTACATTCTGTTCAGTAGCAAGTGTCAGGGAAATAGGATTGTAGAAAGAAGGGGGAATGGAGCTGAATTCCTGGCATCTGAGGAAGAGGAGGGGGTCTGGAATACATGTGACACAAGTTCCGCAGACTCATTAGAGCTGTCATTTGGTGGCATTCCTCTGTTTAATCAAGACCACAGTACAGTCTGTCATATCCCTGTCTTAAGTATTCTTAAAGAGTTCTTACTCATTCAGAAAATAATGATATTGGGATAGCAAACTCTGGGACTATGCGAGGTTCAGGGGATAGAGTGATACATAAGACCTAGTTCTGCTTCTAGAGAGCTCATGGTTTAGCAAGATGAGCAGTTGTATTGAGTTACCCCACAAAGTGATAAGGCATCTACAGGTGTGCATACCAATTCAGTGGCTGTGTAGATATTGGCCCCCAGTTCTGTGGATACAGGAGTGGAGGATAAGGAAAGGGTTCTTTCCATAGAGGGGAAGCCTTAAGAGACAAACTGATTAACCATTTGCTGAGCACCTACTGTATGTCAGATACAATACTAGGTATGTGATTTCATATAGCCTTATATATGACTTGATACTTTTGCCCATGAAGAAATGGTCTAAGAGAAGTTAATGAATTTGCCTGTCTCAAAGCTAGTAATTGAAAAAGCAGTTGTTTCCAGCCAGGTGTGACCCTAATGCTCATTTCCCCTGCTTCTGTGCCACATGTCTTCTCTCTGGAGTAGAGGACTGCAGAGTTCCCAGTTACCCAGACTGAAAGGTTACACCCTAGGCATCCAAGGATGCTTGGTACTTTGCCAGCTGGACAAATAAAATGGCATTCTAAGGAGACCATCAGCATGTGGAAAGTCCCAGAGGCCCAAGAACTGTTTGTGGGGAACACAGGATTGGAATATGGGGAACTGCAGAAACTGAGGCGGAACAAGAGAGGCAAGAGTCAGAGACTGAAAGAAGCCAGTGAAGGGATTTGAACAGGGAGATGTAAGATTTAAGTTACATGACTTACTCTGGTGTCTGCATGAAGGATTCAGGAGGCAAGAAGTCAGGTGAGGGGCAGGTGGAGGCACAGCATCAGTTATGAGACTCCAGCCTAATCTTGGACAGTTACTGCCAGCCTGTGGACTGGCTCACTCAGACCTAGTCGAAGCCTGCCTTGAAGCTATATCAAGGTTTTAGGGTATTTTGTCTGTATTCTACAGATGTTCTGACATTGCCCTTCTTAGAGCAATTAGTCTTTCTTGTTAGGTTGCTCCAGATTAGGAACCAAGGTTCTTTCTCCATGTCTTCTGTTTTCAAACTCTGCACATTCTCATGCATATAGTTTTTATTCTTCTCAGGCACAATTTTCTATTTCAGAAAATCCAAATTTGCCTAAACCTTCTAGCCTCTTGTAACCTCGGAGTTGTCAAGTTTCTCCACCTCTGCATCTGGGTCTTATTCCTGCTTCTCCATCCTTCTTACTCATAGTTTCTTTGTCACATACCTATTGGATCTCCTTGTCCTTTTTATGTTATTTGTATTAGCCTGTCTAGGAGTTTCCATCTTTTCTGAGAGCAAGTGTGTAAGAGCTGCTTCACTGTCTTGCCGTTGTGAGGTGAGCCTACTTTTCAGACACATGACCAGAAAACAAAGATGGCATATTGTTTCTAGATCACTGGAGTGTCCTAGAAGTGGCTTCCATGCTTCCTAATAAGGGTTGGGGTTGACACTGAGCCTCCCCTCTGTGTCCCTTCCTAAGCGCCATGATGAACATGCTTCTCTCAGCCCAGGCTCCTGCTGACACCACCGGTCCCTTTTCATACTGTTTGGCGGTGCCGTCTTTTGGTCCACTCTGGTCCATATGCGGACACCAGCTACTTAACACCAGGCAGCCCACCACCACTGATGACCAGCCCCCCATCTCTGCAAGACCAAAAATCAGTGAGCAGAGAGAAACTGCCCCCCCCTCAAGAATTTTAAAGGAGTGCTTTTCTAAAATCCAATCTCTGCTACAAAGACAAGCCTTGGCTTGTTATTGTGTTAACTTTTTAAAGGGGAAAAATCTTAAACATAGATTTCAAACATATGGCTACAATGAAAACAGGTGGCTGTAGATAATTCACTGTATTTAAGACAACAGTGAGAAAAATAAAATAAAAACGGGTAATTACAGATCAAATGGGAATGCTTATATAAAGTTTTTCAAGTCCTTAACCATGGTTCCGTGTCCTGGGGAAAGAATGGTGGAAATGTATAGAAAAGCATAGTTATTAAGGGATTCTGCTGTCTCTCTATTTTCTGTTAACATCAATACCATCTTTTCTGCAGCAGTTGGGTTACCCATTTTTGTTCTTATTGCCCTGAATAGTTATAAATGTGATTTTAAATCTTTACATCAGAATAAGCCATGCCACTGGTTTACAACTCTTTGAGATGTATTTGCTGCCTCAGTGATAGAAGTCATGTAATCTTTTAAACTCAATTATGCCAGTCATAGTAGTTCGTAAATTACACCAATGATGTTACTATTAGGATTATTAGAGAGTGGCTTTAACATATCTTTAGTCATTCTGTTTTGTTACTTTTTCCCTGATAGTACACAATGTTGTCAGGACAGGTTCCCTTCCAATCTCATGACCGAAGTTTGACATGTACCAGCGCAGTGGAAATCATGAAGAAAATTAAAAAGGGAGACTTCTCCTTTGAAGGAGAAGCCTGGAAGAATGTATCCCAAGAAGCTAAAGATTTGATCCAAGGTAAGAATCTAATGAAATGTTACTCTCTTTTTTTCTTTTTTTTTTGAGATGGAGTTTCACTCTTGTTGCCCGGGCTGGAGTGCAGTGGTGCGATTTTGGCTCACTGCAACCTCCGCCTTCCAGGTTCAAGTGATTCTCCTGCCTCAGCCTCCAGAGTAGCTGGGACTACAGGTGCCCACCACCATACCTGGCTAATTTTTGTATTTTTAGTAGAGACAGGGTTTCACCATATTGGCCATGCTGGTCTCGAACTTCTGACCTTGTGATCCACCCACCTTGGCCTCCCAAAGTGCTGGGATTACTGGGTGGCATGAGCCACCACACCCAGCTGAAATTTTACATTTTTTATATGATGTATAGTGATTGAAGTGGAATCATGCCCATTACACATACATGTATGTTAATTACTCAAGGAATCCATGTATATTCTAAAAGGTTTTTTAGAATATAAAAAGGCTACTCTCTTCAGCATTGTCTTCTTATCAGAACATTCTCCTTAGCAATGATATCTACATTTCTAGCAAGAACTAGCACTTGGCTCCCACTAGCATCTCAGTCAAACACATCTAAAACAAACCAGTACTTTTTGACTGTTCTTTCCCCAAAACACGCTTCTCCTCGTCTTTCCTCCTGTCAATAGTGGCACTGCTAAGAAGCCACATCGCCAGAACAGAAACATTGGTGTCCTCTTGGATACCTGCACCTGCCTTGCCTTCCACAGCCAGTCACAGAGTCGTACAGTTTCAGCAGTGTTCCTGGCCGTCCCTTCCTTTCTATTCACCTGCCATTGCCTTTGTTCTCATCACAATTTCTCTCCCCAGATCTTCCAGCATCCTTTCACCTTGCCTCACTTCCTCCAGCTTAAACTATTATCTATTTCATCATCTATTGATAGAGGGACTTTTCTATAATCCAAAAGTGATTATGCCTCTTTTCTGCTGAAAATCCTTTGGAGACTCTCTGTTCGCTTCGTAGCAGGATCTGTGGGGAACAAATCTCTCAAACACTGAACTGAGAAAGGAAGTGAGGCTCAGGAGGCTAATGCCTTGACCACTGAGCTCCCCTAGGAGCAGCAGCTTTCCCTTTTTAAGGACTTACAACTCTGAAGTGGAAGCAGAGGTGAAACTGTGTTATTGCCCATTGGCTGGGCAGCTGACCTCACAGTCTTTGGCTTTCATTGATTTGCTAATTCATATGCAGAGCATGCGGGAATAGGCAGGGGAAGGGGCTTACAGACACAAGACAAAAGCAGTAAATCATTAGTTGGCAGAGGTATTTCCAGGAGAGGATCTGGGTCATGTAAACGTGGAGGACATGACCCAGAGCCAGGCTCTGGCCAGTAGGGAAAGCATTCTTTGCTACACTTCAAGGTTTATAGTTGGCATAGATGCTGGGAACTGAAAAGGGAGTTATCTTTCCAGTCCTTGGGCTCATTACGGCCTGGTCAGTGGTGTCAGCAAGTCACTTCACAGCAAGTCGTTTGACCACGGATTCTAGTTCTTTGGTATTTTATCTCTCTTTACCCTCCTTCTCATCCAGAGGGAGGAGGTGGAGGTCTGCGAGGAGGGAGTTGGGTAGGGGGTTTCCCTTCTCTTGAACTCCCAACCTCAGGTGATCCACCCGCCTTGGCCTCCAAAGTGCTTGGATTAGAGGCGTGAGCCACCACGCCCAGCCCCTCCCTTCTCAGCTTCAGGTGAGACTCCTTAGCCTAGCATTTAACATTCAGAGCTCCTCATTACCTGATACTGTGTACGCTGCTTCCTCCTCACACCAGCAATGCCAGTGTAGGATATTTGAATTTCTCAGATGTGCCGAGCTTTCAGATCCCTCGTGTCTTTACACACTCTTCTTAATCCCTGAAGCCCTCCTCTCCCCCAAGCCACTTCTCCTTATCCTACAGGATTCATCTCCTAGAAACCTTCCGGGAGGCCCGCACTCCCTAGGCTGCACTCTCCCCCGGCCTGCTGACACACTGTGCCTGTGTGTCTTGCCATTGCACTTGTCCCTGATATTATAATAGCTGGGGTTTTGTCTGTGTGTCTTCTACTATTAATAGCTCCTCCCTATGTCTCCATCTCCATATCTCTAGTGCCTTACTGCCCTTCCTGACCTGTAGAAGATGGCCAGTCAATGTTTGGTACATGGACGAAGTAGATTATGTGTGCTTTGCTCATTTGGAGCTTACCAAGTCACCAATGGGAGACTTTGTTTTGGTTGGTTCTTTTCCCCTGATTGAAAAGCCACTTAGTTAGCCTGCAGCTTTCTAGAAGTAGGCTACTATGCTTTATCATTAGAATCCAGTATTCACTAAAGAATTTAAATGAACAGGAAAATCTAATTATCTTTATAGAAGGTTAAAGCCAGATAGAAACCATCATGTCATGTGAACATAATTGAGATTTATTTCTGAGTTTTTTTTTAAACCATCTTTAAAATGATAGAATAAAAATATCTATTCCCACAGGACTTCTCACAGTTGATCCAAACAAAAGGCTTAAAATGTCTGGCTTGAGGTACAATGAATGGCTTCAAGACGGCAGTCAGCTGTCCTCAAATCCTCTGATGACTCCGGATATTCTGGGATCTTCAGGAGCTGCCGTGCATACCTGCGTGAAAGCAACCTTCCACGTAAGGCCCTGTTCTCTGCACATGTTGAGCAGTTTGAGCAGTAATCATAATCAAATGTTTTTACTCTGTAGCCTCAGATACATTTTCTTCATTTCATGTTTAAAATAATATGTGTCCTTTTACTTTTAAGTATGTTTTAATAAATTGCTTCTTGGTTATAAACACTTTATTTATTTATTTATTTATTTTTTTTTGAGACGGAGTTTCGCTCTTGTTACCCAGGCTGAAGTGCGATGACGTGATCTCGGCTCACCGCAACCTCTGCCTCCTGGGTTCAGGCAGTTCTCCTGCCTCAGCCTCCTGAGTAGCTGGGATTACAGGCACACGCCACCATGCCCAGCTAATTTTTTGTATTTTTAGTAGAGACGGGGTTTCACCATGTTGACCAGGATGGTCTCGATCTCTTGACCTCATGATCCACCCGCCTCGGCCTCCCAAAATGCTGGGATTACAGGCTTGAGCCACCGTGCTCGGCCGGTTATAAACACTTTATAACAGAAAGTCCACAGGGGACAAGTCACTGCTAACCCACAAAATATGTATTTGATTTGTAGAAAGACCTCATGAGATGAGATAAATAGAACTTTTTCTCTCAAATAAACTAAATCATTTTCTTTAATTTCGCATATGCCTTAGTTTAATTTCGCATATTCTTTAACTTTCGCATATGCCTTAGTTCCTAATGTTTATCATGGTTATTAATAACCATGATAAACATTAGGAACTAAGGCATATGCGAAAGTCTATTCATTCCACAGCCATTTAGTACATTACACATTCTTAAAACTGGGAGGGATATGAAGTAAGCTAATTGGTATTAAGTATAGAGTATATGTTTGAAAGGCTGAGACTGTGTGGCAGAAACTGTGGATTATGCACATTTGTGCCAAGTAGATGCAAATACATTAAGATAATTCATGTATAGTATGAGTTATGGAGATAGAAAATCACCTTCAAAGGGATTATTTTGAGAAAGGAGAAGGGATAGGGATAGCGCTTCTTCAGCAGCAGAAATGGATTTAAAAAGTAATAAACTGGAAATGTTGAGATGGTAAAGAGATTAACTGCAAGAATCTGTGTCAGATGATCCAGATCTTCTCATGGCATAGGATGCACAGTGACAACTACAAGGAGTAACTGCAGCCTTGTCCAAGCCTAGGCTAAGCAGCATGAAGACAGGCTGCAGGAGGAGGGGGAGGGCGAGGCTGTAGAGCTGTGCTTCTGTGTGTGTGTAAGTGTTCAGGATATACCCTGTCACTGAATGGGAAGTGAAGAACAAAGACTTATAAGGCATCAAGTCTGCTTGCATTGGAACTTTGTGTTCAGAATTTTAAATCTTAGACACAGAACCAGTAAAAGCAATGGGGGGTGGTTTAGATTACAGATGGTCTTCATGAATTTCCAGTCAATTGTTTTGTTTTAAAATGTAGTACTAACTTCTTCCAAAGATTTATTAGAATTGTGACTCTCAGACAGCCTAGCTAGTTCGATTTAAACAGAGCCCTCAGAAATGTTTTCTGGTGAACTTCACCCTTCCAGTAGACTTAGATACAAAGATTTTCCAAGCTTTGTTCCCTTAAAACAACTTGGGGCTGCATTTACCAATGGAAAGTTGTCTTCTGCTATAAGTCATAACTGCTAGGAAAACGTCGTCAGTGCTTTTGCCTTCACAGGGTTTCCCTTTTTTTCTCCCATAGGCCTTTAACAAATACAAGAGAGAGGGGTTTTGCCTTCAGAATGTCGATAAGGCCCCTTTGGCTAAGAGAAGAAAAATGAAAAAGACTAGCACCAGTACAGAGACGCGCAGCAGTTCCAGTGAGAGTTCCCATTCTTCTTCCTCTCATTCTCATGGTAAAACTACACCCACCAAGACACTGCAGCCCAGCAATCCTGCCGACAGCAATAACCCAGAGACCCTCTTCCAGTTCTCGGACTGAATAGCTTAGGCATGGTAGGAGTGTGACAGTGATCCATTGCACCTTGTTTCCCTCAGGATATGCCTGAGGCGATGTTTTATGCTTTTAAAAATGTTTCCCGTTGGTCTCATTGGAATCTGCCTCCTAATGGTTTTTTTTTCAGAAAAACCTGTTTGGTTATCCTCATCCAAAAGCACTGGACAGAGAATGCTACTGTGAATAGAGCACATGTTACTCTTTTTAGCAACCTAGCATGATGCCAACAAGACTATTCTTGAAAGAGCAAAGGTTCCTGTAAATTTAATTAGGGTTAGAGTTGAGCTGCTTGCAGAATAAGTCACAGGTTTTCCAGACGTCTGCCAACAAGAAATGATTCATACTGTGATGATGCCTTTTGCTTTGCCTTGTGGACAATGTGGGTTTTTGAAATTTGCACCCTTCAAACAGTGATTTATCAGAGAAAGGGTCTGTTTTCAAAAAAAGATTCTGTAGTGAATTTTATGTGTGGCATATACTTATTTCTTGAGAGAAGATTTTAACTTATTGTTTTTATTTTGTGGTTACATATGATGATAACCTGCTATTATTAATGTTTTTCTAAAAAGCTAAAAAAAAAAAAAAAAAAGATATAAGAACTCAAAGTCCCATACTCTGTGGGATCCATCTGAGATGCATGCTAAGCTATGTGTATGTTTTTAATTTGCACTGCTCTTTCCTGGCAATTTGTTTTAATGGTTATTGCAGAATATTAAGGTACATGTCTCTCTGTTTTAAGTAATATTGCACTTTATAAAAAAGTATGAATAAAGCAAACTATTTTATAAAGTGCACTGTTTAAAGCATTTGCACTGTATTTTTGCCATTTATTTTCATTTTCTACTTTAAATTTATCCTCACATCCCTCTTCTACTTTGTATGCATCAAGTAGAATGGGGCATGTTGTGTAATGTTGTAGTCAGCCACTTATGCACCAATGTGAGGAAAACCTAAAGGGAAATTATACTAAACACTGTGCTTCATATTTGTACACTGTGTTGTACTACAGTGAGAAGTTTACTCCTGTAGTCATATATTATGTACATAATATTTTAAAATCATACCTACAACTTGGCTGGAAATTTTTCTGTTAAATTTTAAATCTAGAAAGCATATTTTATAAACTTATGCAGAGCACTTTTATTGCTCAAAAGTTCTGAATTCATACAGAAAACAAGTACTATGTGATGAAAACATTTCATTGAAAGGTTGCTGCATTTAAAAATATAATTGATTCATTCCCTATGCAAAAAAAGAAGTGATAGGATTTGTATGTTGTATTTTCTTTTAAAGCCATCATGTGAAATGTCAGGACTGAGAAAAGTGATTTTTGCTATGTTTACAGGAATCATGCTTAAAAAGATAATGCCCAACATGTTTATTTCATAGTGTTTGTTAATAATAACCTTTTGAGCATTAGTTTGGAATTTGGACATGATATTTATTTATTCCTTTCTTGAGGTAATAGCAGCATTAATTTCAACCAGTTATGAATACTAAAAATATTGCACTCTATGTAATGGTAGTATATTTATTACTAAATCAATATATATATTAATAGCACAGGCAAAAAATGGCAAATATTAAAATATTTTCAAAATATTGTATTACCCTGTTTACATTGTTGTCCACAGTGTTTATTGGGAATAATATTTTATACTTTTATCTGGCCCAAATGGCTACATGATTCTGAGTTAGTGAAAGTTTCATACACCCAACTTTCAGTTATTCCTAGTAATTATGGGAAATGTTGTATGCATTATTACCAAACTATTGCTAATTCACAAAATGTGATTCCATCAGGCACAGATCTCAAGAGAATGACCATATTTATAATTATATTTTATATATTTTGAGCATATTTGGCTCTTCAAGCCATTTTTTTTTAACTGTGCATCCTGGTAGAAAATACTAGTTGTAAAGTACAAACTAAAGGGACTATGTTGCTAATAAACAATGATCCAGAAAAATGGTCAGACAGTATACCCTCATGACTGATGATGTGATTCATTTCATTGTGGATGTTGGAAATGAATGGGTTTCATTTTCATGTGTTTCCCTTGCCTCTTCTTCTGGAAGAGGACTTGACAGAAAATGAAATGGGTAAAAAGGCAGTGAGACAAACAGAAGAAGGAAAGGTAAGGCTAGCCATCAGCTGATGAGCCTGCCTGAATAATCTAGAATGGGCTTTTGAAAAGACCTTAACAAAAACACGTACTATTGTGCTCTTGTCAAGTATCTTCATCCTTATTCTACTTTATAAGTACCAAAAAGACAGCATTTGATGGCAAGTTTGAAGCAGTCAGGTAGTCTGCAGGCTGTCTGTTAATATACAGTGAATTGCACTTTAAAGTTCAGAAAGCTTTCATTTGGTCACATCAAAAATAAACAATACAGAATACTTTATATAAAAATGTTAAATGATAGGACTCTTTTTTTGGTATTAAGAGTAAAATAGAAGATCTAAGAAATACAAATATTTAACATCATTTCTCTTTATGACATTAACTTTGGGACTAGAGCCAAATCACCCCTTCCCTTCTTCACTAATTGATTTCATATTGTATATAATTTTCATGCCAACATAAATCCTGATTCATATATTTTGTAACTATATATAACAAATTGAGAGGCAAGAATAAGAAAAGGGAGGTAATAAAGGAAAGAAATTAAGAAAGACCAGTTTCATTACTCTGTCAGATCCTGTGTCTAAAAGAGGTTAATTTGCATTTTGAAATTCACTGGTGGGGTGTGGTGGCTCAAGCCTGTAATCCTAGGGCTTTGGGAGTACAAAATAGGAGAATCACTTGAAGCCAGGAGTTGAGACCAACCTGGTCAACATAGTGAGACACTGTTTCTCCAAAAATTAAAGTTAAAATTAACTGAGCATGGTGGCTCATGCATGTAGCTCTAGCTACTCAGGAGGGCAGCATGTGGAGGATCACTTGAGCCCAGGAGTTCAAGGCTGCAGTGAGCTGTGATCACACCGCTGCGCTCCAGCCTGGGCAACAGAGCGAGACCATATTTAAAAAAAAAGAAAAAGGAAATTCATTAATTCTTCCAAACCTTTATAAAGTGAGAAACCACTGAGTTACTACAATAGAAAGTTTCCTGAGTTAATTTCCACATTGTTGTCTATCTTAGAGTCACAGGTTCATTATCCAAGAAAACTGCCTTCTGATTTTTTTTTAGATTACTGCTGACTTCTTAAGTATGTAAATGACTAAGTTATTTTAAAGAAGTCTACTAAGATAGCAGTCACTTTTTTTTTTTTTTTTTTTTGAGACGGAGTTTCTCTCTTGTTACCCAGGCTGGAGTGCCATGGCGCGATCTTGGCTCACCGCAACCTCCGCCTCCTGGGTTCAAGCAATTCTCCTGCCTCAGCCTCCTGAGTAGCTGGGACTACAGGCATGCGCCACCACGCCCAGCTAATTTTTGTATTTTTAGTAGAGACGGGGTTTCACCATATTGACCAGGATGGTCTCGATCTCTTGACCTCGTGATCCACCCGCCTCGGCCTCCCAAAGTGCTGGGATTACAGGCTTGAGCTACCGTGCCCGGCCATGAAGGAAATATTTTAAGTATAATCTACCCAAAAAGAATAACTGCTACAGCCAACATAAAGGCTTTATTCCCTGTTTTGTTAAATAACTTCACTCAAATTGTGACATTCTTTAGAGAGAGTATTTTCCTTGAGCAGTAATTAACATGTTTTTGGGGGGCATATTTTCAAGGGGGAAACATCTTCCTAAGAACATTTGATTAGCCTCACTTCTGTCCTCAGCTTCTACATTGCTTACTTTTCAAGATATTTCTTCTGAGCCCTTTTCTTTGTGTGCCTAGCTCCCCATTATGTAATTAAGTAGTTGATTACTGTTCCAAATGCTTCCCCTACTCAAGGCTGTTGTTCACCCTGTTTCATGAATTTGTGAATGAAGTAGGTGCCTAATATTTTCCTACTATTAGGCTGAAAAGCAGTAAGAAACTAAAGTGGCTTCCAAATATTTGTGTCTTGCAAAATAGGAAATGTTTCTTGCCAGTCATTTCCTTTCCATTATTCCTTTTAATCACAGTATGAAAACCTAGTATTTTGTATTTAGAAGGAGACTTGTATTAAAAGACAAGATTCTTGGTAGTTATTCATCAGGCTTCAGTTTCTTGTGTATTTCTCCTGGGAGAGGTAGAAGGACATTTTGTAGTATTTTTCTAACAATATAATGCTGCTTGGGTTATCAGAAGGTATTGAATACTTCAGATAAGTAAAGTTAGTATTTAGTATAGCAGCTGTTCTTCAGAGCACAGGAAACTGGGATAGTATGTAGCATTATGCTATTTCCATTATTTTTCATTGCCTAACTTTTAATTTGTACAGTTGTATAAAATTTGCCTCTTTACTAAAAAAAAAATCTAGTTTCATTCCTGTTTCTTGCCATATTAAGCAGTTTTTATCTTTTCATTGATGTTTTACATTTTTTATCTTAGAAGAAAAAGAAAACAGAGAGAATGAAAGAGAAACATCATGACTTAGAAAAGGAAATTTGATCTGTATGGAATACTGTAGCTTTATTTTCTGGCATTTCTGCTTGTAGATAGATTAGAAAATCCTTGTTTCTCTTGTTTGTTTTGTTTTAAAATCCAGTAAGGTTGAGGAACTTGACATTTTAAAACCGCAGTTTTATTTTTAACTACTTAAGAGGCTGGTCATGTAAAATCTGCACTGCTGTGTTGGAATGGATATGTGCGTGATAATTAACCTCATTAAAGCTCTGTTGCTGTGGTGGGCATTCAGGTATTCCTAGTAGTTTAATTTGGATACTATACTGCCATCCTATTCGCTGAAACTATTAATACTAGCAAAAGGAATGACCAAATGTACAATAATGCTCTTGTGTAAATAAAACACAAAATTAAAGGTGCTCTATCACATAAAAAGTTAATGCGTCCGTACTGAAGTTTTGAAAAACATTCCTAAAAACTTCACAGGCATGAATTTTTGAAAAGAAGAAGAAACCACATATACACATAGAAGAGTTTTTAAAGACTGACATTCTAAAGTATAGCTGGTAAAAATGGTATGTATCCTTACTTGTGGAATTTAAACTTGTTGAAGATAATCTAAGCTGCAATAATCTCTGTACTGTTCTTTCACAGTTTTACATAAAGATAAGAATTTGTCTTACTAAAAGGTAAATGGAAAATTTTAAAAGATGAAAAGCATTGTTTTTCCTCTTTTCTATGTGAACAATTAAAAGTATAGTCAAGCCTCGGCTCAAATGAGTTGTCCGTGTGTGAGACAGGGCCTCACTCTGTCACCCAGGCTGGAGTGCAGTGGAGCAATCCTCACACCTCAGCCTCCTAAGTAGCTGGGACTACAGGCATGCGCCATCATGCCCAGCTGTTTTTCTTTTTTTTTTTTAATAGCTACAGGTTCTCAGTATGGTGCCCAGGCTAGTCTCAGACTCCTAGTTTCAAGCAGTCCTCCCGCCTCAGCCTCCCGGTGTTGGCCACTGTGCCCAACCATGCGTTGCCTTTTGAGTTCTTTCTTAACTGCATCAGTTCATTCCATACTCAGTACATGCACATTTTCTTGCATTGTTTTTCTATTATATGTTCACATTCATTTGTGTATTTCTACACTGGTATTTCACTCACTACTTCTTAAGATATCCACATGTGGACCTACATTTATAAATTGTAATTCTGATCAGAGAAATAAGAACTTGATTGGGACAGAGCTGGGAAATGTTTGTGATGAAAATTATTAGGAATAAGGAAATAATGATGCCGTATGAGAAAGCAAGTAGATTCACAGTTCTGAGGTACAAGCATCTGCAATAAACATAGAAAAGGCTACTTTACAAAAATGTTATTTCATTACGCATATGGACAAATATCTTTCTTTTTTTTTTTTTTTTTTGAGATAGAGTCTCACTCTTGTTGCCCAGGCTGGAGTGCAGTGACGCGATCTCAGCTCATTGCAACCTCCATCTCCCGGGTTCAAGTAATTCTCTTGCCTCCTGAGTAGCTAGGACTACAGGCACACGTCACCATGCCCAGCTAATTTTTGTATTTTTAGTAGAGATGGGGTTTCACCACGTTAGCCAGGCTTGTCTTGATCTCCTGACTTCATGATCCACCTGCCTCAGCCTCCCAAAGTGCTTGGATTACAGGAATGAACTACCGTGCCCGGCCTGGACAAATCTCTATATAAAGTTTTGTCTACTGTGTAGATAAAGGAACTTATAAGCTTCATAAAGTGATGATTTTTCTTTAGGAAGCCCACGCGATAACTCTCTCCTCTGTTTTCCCACTCCTTCCCCAGCTTTTCCTGCTGCCCACTGCTCCAAACACCGACATCCAGTGGCCAAAGAGACCAGTCCAAATGAAGCACTAAGACTACATACAGATAGTGATCATATTGTTTAAAATGTTATTGCAACATGGCATAAGTGCACGGGTTTTAAGTATACAGCTCAAAAAGTGTTTATATATTTATGCATCCATGTAGCCATCACTCAGATGAAGACGAGGCTCCCAGTCAATACTCAGACATAACCACCATTCTGACCTCTGTCACTGTTGTTGACATTCCTCTACATGGAATTTTACAGTCTACAGATTTTTGTGTCTGGTTTAATTTGATCAGCATTATATCTGTGAAATGCATCTATGTTGTTTCATGTAGCAATAACAATGGTTTGTTCTTTTTCATTGCTGTGTAGTATTCCATCAGATAAATACATTACAATTTATCCATTCCGCCAGTGGTAGACATTTTGGTTGTTTATAGTTTTTAGCTTTTATGTTTAAAGCAACCATAAGCAAATTGTACATATCTTTTAGTGGGCATGTACACTCATTTCTCGTGTGTGTACACTTAAGAGTGAAACAACTGGCTGCAGTGAGCCATGATCGCACCACTGCACTCCATCCCGGGCGACAGAGTGAGACCCTGTCCAAAAAGCAAACAAGGAGTGAAACTACTGAGTCAAAAGATGAATATATATTTAGCTGTGGAATATATTACCAGATGGTTTTCAACAGTGGTTGTATCAATTTACATACCCACCGATAAGGTATAAGTGTTCTAGTTGTTCCGCATCCTCATCAGTGCTTGGTACCATAAGTGCTAGTAGTTTAGCCATTCTGACAAATGCGTATTTGATTGTGGTTTTAGCCATTCTGGTGATTGTGTATTTCATTAAGGTTTTAAGGTGCATTTTCCTGATGAGTAATGATGTGTGGAACACCTTTTTATATTTTTATTAGTCATTTGGCTATCCTTAATTGTTAAGTGCCTCTTCAAGTCATTTGTTCATATTTATTGGGTTGTTATTTTTTCTTATTGACTTGCAAAAGTCCTTTACGTTTTATGGACATGAGGTTTTTTTGTCTGATATATTACCATAAATGTCTTCTCTTTAGTTTGCTTTTCTACTACCTAAGTGCTTTCCTTTGATGACCAAAAAATATATGAAGTCCGATATACCAATCTTTTATTTAATTGCTAATAATGTTGTGTCATATTTAATGAATGTTCACATCAAGTTTATGAAGATATTCTTATATTCTTCTAAAAGCTTTATTGGCTGGGCGAGGTGGCTCACGCCTGTAATCCCAGTGCTTTGGGAGACTGATCCAGACGGATCACAAGGTCAGGAGTTCGACCAGCCTGGCCAACGTGGTGAAACTCCAACTCTACTAAAAATACAAAAATTAGTCAGGCATGATGGTGCACACTTATAATTCCAGCTATTTGGGAGGCTGAGGCAGGAGAATTGAGAATTGCTTGAACCCAGGAGGCAGAGGTTGCAGTGAGCCGAGATCACACCACTACACTCCAGCCTGGGCAACAGAGTGAGACTCCACCTCAAAAAAATAAAAATAAAAGCTTTATTGTTTTACCATTCATATAGGCTTATAGTCTGTCTGCTGCTGTTATTTGTATATGATGTGAAATAGTAACCAAAGTTTGTTTTTTCATTTCATTATTCACTTGACCCACCACAATGTATTGAAAAGCTGAGTTGTAATTTTTATGAAGTCTTTATATCTGGTAGTGTAAGACCTCCACCTTGATCTAATAGTTCTAATAGTTTTGGCTGTTAGTACTTGGTGTTAGTACTACTACTGTATATTTTAAAGACTGTATTGTTTGTTTACCCACATATTTATGTTTTCTGGTGGGTTTTTTTTCCATCCTGCCTTTTTTACTTCCACCTGGATTATTTTCCTTCACCTAGATAATTCTCTTTAGTGCCAGTCTTCTGACAATGAATTCTCTCAGCTTTTGTTTTTTGAAACCTTTCTTTTGCCTTTGCATTTCCATATACATTTTAGAATCACCTTGTTGGTTTTTGTGGCAGGGGATGTTAGGGTTTAATTGGTATTGCATTGAATGTATAAATCAGTTTCAGGAGAAATTATATCTTAACAATTTTGAGTTTTCCAATCCATGGTCATGGTATGTCCCTCTATTTACTTAGGTATTTAATTTGTCTCACCAGAGTTTTATAGATTTACATGTAGAGGTTAGATTTATATCTACGTTTTTGACAGTTTTATTTTATTATCAAGTTATTTTTACTTCATTTATGGAAATACAGGAATTTTTTTGGTATATTGCCCTTGCAGTTAGAAGCCTAGCTAAATTCACTTTTTAATTCTAATAATTCTATATATTATTTTAGATTTCTTTAGGTCTACAGTTATATCTTCTGTAAATAATGATAGTTTCATTTCTGCCTTTTGAATTTTTATTTTTCTTGCCTTATTAAGCTGACCAGGACCTCTAGTAAAATGCTAAATGAAGTAATGGCAATGGACTTCTTTAACTTCTTGAACTCAAAATAAGAATTCAGTATTTTACTATTCAATATTAGGTGTTACATAATTTTTATAGATATCATATGCCAGATTAAGTTTCTTTTTATTTCTAGTTTTCAGAGAGTTTTCACTAAATGTTTCTTCTGCCTCCATTGAGATAATCATATATTTTTTCTTTATTCCCCTATAGTGATAAGTTACACGAATTTTGAAATGCTGGAAATAGAGTAAATCCATTTTCATGATGTATTACTCTTTTCATATATCAATGGATACAGTTTGCTAATATTTTGCCTAAGATTTTTGAGTCATAAGAAGGATAGACTTAAGCTGGATGTGGTATCTCACACCTATAATTTCAACACTTTGGGAGGCCAAGAAGGGAGGATTGCTTTAGTCTAGGTGTTGGAGACCAGCCTAGGCAACATACTGAGACCTCATCTCTACAAAAAATTAAAAAATTATCTAAGTGTGGTGGAATACACCTGTAGTCCCAACTACTCAGGAGGCTAAGGTAGGAGAATCGCTTGAGTCTAGGAAGCAGGGGTTGCAGTGAACCAAGATTGTGCCACTGTACTCCCACCTGGGCAACAGAGAAGCCTGTCTTCAAAAAAAAAGGAGGGGGGGAGACAGAGAGGAAGAAAAAGAAGGAGGATAGACCTGTAATTTTTCTTTCTTTAATATTTTTGTCAAGTTGTGGTATTAAGATTATTCTGGCCTCACTAAAAAAAAGTTGGAAATATGTTCCCTGTTTTCTATACTCTGGAAGGGTTTGCACATGATATTATTCCTCCTGTTTAAAATAAGTCACCATTGAAGCCACTTGAATGAGCAGTTTTCTTTGTGGGAAAGTTGTCATTAATTGGAAATATATCTTGTCCATTTACAGTTAATGTAATTATTTATTACTGGTTTTAAGTCTGCGATCTTACAATTTCTTTTACATTTTTGTCCTATA